GACACTCTCTGTTGCTACTTCTCTGCACCTTTTCCTTTCCTTGCGTTTCCCTTTGCTTGCCTTCTTTTTTTTTTCCTTTTGCCATCACGACGGCTGGCACAGGGCACTTTTGCAAAATCTCGTGGCCCGGGTGCTGCCAACCCTTTTGAATTGTTCACGTGGTGGCTAGAGCCATTGTCAACGTTGGGCAGCATGGCATCAAACTTCCAATGATGAGACCGTGTAATAACTGAGACACACACACTCTCTTTCTCTCTCTTCCCTTTCTTCTCTCCCCCTCTTTGATCCCCGCGCGTAGTACTTTCTTCGTGTCCCCCCCCCCCCACCACACACACACACACGCGCGCGCGCGCGTTCTTCCCCCATTCCCCCATCCCTTCGCCTCCTGCTTCCGCTTGCACTAAGCGGCCTCATTCAGCGCTAACCCTCTTCCCTCCCCCTCTGTACAATCCCACTCTCTCACTGCGCTGTTCGTGCTTGTTCGCCCTACGTTTGTGGGTGCTTAAACCCGCTTTCATTCGGCAAAAGGTACACATTGTTGGCGCGTCGCTAGGTGCCTTCCTTGCCCAAAAACTGGCGGAACTGACAAAGGAGTACCGGCTCGTGCAGTCGCTGACGCTGATCAACGGCTTCACCGACACAGCCGCCTTCAAGTCGGCGCCGTCCGCACTAGTGTGAGTCATCACTGCCGCCTCCCTCTGCTGTGTACCGCTCAAGCTGCCCCTGGCCCTTGCCGTCGCCAATTCCCAATTCCAGCGCCCTTGTCTCTCTCGTCTCTGGCCTCTCACATCATGCTCCTTGCTCACAACCGACTTGCCTGGTGTCACACTTGCATGTCCACAGTGTCCAGTTCCTGCCTGGCTTTATGCTGAAGCGTATGCTGATGCAAAACTTCCCACAGGGCCGCCTCCACACTGACGTCGCCAACAGCATCGACTTTATCGTGGAGCAGGTGAGATGGTACACTTGTCGTCGCCTCAATGGGATCTGAACCCTGTTTGTTCCCCCCCCCCCGGCTGTGCTGTCCGAGCTCCTCTCTTGGTCGTCGTGAAGGTGTGCTTCTGTTCGCCCTTCCACGTGCGCTCATTTCGTGGCTCTGCCTTGTGTACGGCTTTGCCAGCTTGAAACTTTAACACAGCCAGAGCTCGCATCGCGGCTCAACCTCAACATTAAGCCGTCCTACGTCGATCCACGGCCCATCCTCGACCAACACATTCCCGTAAGCTGCTCGTTCTACCCTTTCCTTCGTCTGTGTGCGCTCACTTGTGTGTTTGTGTGTGCGTTGGCACGCCAGCATGCATCTGGAAATGAAATTTGTTGGGTTTTGGTGTTAATGTCGCTGCTGTCTCGGCTGATGGGTGTTGGTGCCGCTTCTTCCTCATGTCGACAATATGGGTCTCTCCGTTGCTGACAACATTGTCACGGCTGCGGTGCTTTGTGCAGGTGATGATTGTTGAGGTGCAGGACAAGTGCGCCATTTCTTCAAACGTGCGTCTGGAGATGCTCAAGTACTATCCGGACGCCCGCATCGCCCATCTCAAGGTGTGCTGTTGTTGTTGTTGTTGTTGTTGTTGTTGTTGGTCTGAAGGGCACCTGTCATGTATGGCTCTTTGTGTTGCGAGTGCGTGAGCTTATGCTGGCACTCCCGCTCTTCCCCTTTCTGTCGTTGTTTGAACTGCGCCCTTTCTTAGCATGGCGGCAACTTCCCGTATCTCGCCGTCTCCTCCGAAGTGGACATGTTTATCAAGGTGAGAATTGGTTTCTTCTTTTTGTTCTTTCCATTTGGTCTTTTTTGGCGCGTGCTCTGCACACATGATGGTGCTTGAGAGGGCGGGCATGTTCTTTTTGTGGATGAAATGCGCTCGGTGCTCTTTGTGTACGCCAAGACTTGTTCTCACGAGACTGCGTGTCTCATCGTGCTCCCTGACCAGATTCATCTGCGCCAGTTTTACGGCACGCCTGCGTCGCCAACGAGTGACAGCGAGCTCAACGACATGTTCAAGAAGCAAGCGAGCGGTGCGGCGACGGCGGAAGCAAGCGACTCGGAACAGACGGCCTCGCATGCAGCATCGCCCCCAGCACACAAGCAGCGCCAAGAGCGCGCGCCTGCTGACGCCAAGCCGGTCAAGTCACGTGGGATGTTTGACAGTGATGATGACGATGACGATGACAATGAAGATGATGAGACGTTTTAGGACAGTCGCGTGTTGATCCTCTGTGGTGTGGTGATGTATGCGTGTGTTTTTCATGTTGTTGAGTTGTGTTCAGTTGTATTGGCTCGCCCAGCTCTCGAGCGCCCAACACAACGGTCCTGGCTCCTTCCTTCCTGCCAGCCCTTGCGCTAGCGCTCGTCCATTGCCTTTGTTATCACACTTGTCATGCGGTTTACTGCACTGACACACACAAGCCTACTTCATCAGATTGTTATGCAGCAGTTTCGATGCTTGTGTGATGTTCCCTCGAGCCTCTTCCCTCTGCTCGTTCGCGTGTCGTTTTCTGCGCACGTGCCCCTGCAACGTGCATACCTGCACGTGCCTTCAATTTGGATTTGCAATCCACCCACCACTGCCCTCCACGCATACCCACCCTCGCCTCACTGTGCACATATATGACGCGTGCTTCGCCCCCCTCCCCCTTGCCCTACACATGTTATCCTTCTTCTTCATCCTTTGATCGCACCTTTCTGCATTGCGATGACACCCACCCCTCCTTGCCTCACCTCGAATGAGCGCACAGCCGCGTTTTGTACAGTGCTGCTGGCCCATTCCTGTCTATGTATACCTGACTGGTTGACCTTCTTTCTTCCTTCCTTCTTTCTTCCTTTCTTGCCTCTGATTGATTGACGACTTGAGCGTACCCGCGTATAATGAAACGAACCAAACAAATACAGCAACACAGCAACACGTGATGGGCACAAACAAAGACAAGGCAAGCTGATGTGGCAGGAGGCAGGTGTTTGCGATGACCAGGAAAGACGGCAACGGAGCTTGGTTGTTGGCATGAAAAGCAGACAACTCACACGCACATCCCCGGCCGAAGACGTGACACGGCTGCGCCACAACTACAGGAATGGGCGTTTGCTGTGCAGGGAGTTGCGCACGTGCGGCGGGTTCTTGTGCATGCGCTCCTGCAACTTGCGTGTGTAGTACTCTGGCCTGTCCTCCTTCACGTACTCCTGCTTCGGGGGCGGCCCAACGCGCAGCCGCAGGAAGTAGTGTGTGCGTGGCCTGTACCGCAGTGTCGGGGAAGGAACGCATTCGTGGTGGATGGCAGAGTGAGACGGTGAGAAATGAGGGAATCCAAACGTGTGAGGCATGCGTGCGTGAGATGCATGCATGTGTGCGGACGGGTGTGGTGTGGAATGGGCGTTGGGAGCAGCTAAATAACAATATGTTGCTGTACTTCTCGTGGTTAGGGTTAGGGTTAGGGTGGTGCAAGCGTGGTTCAGCACACACACACACACACACACACACACACACACACACACACACACACACACACACACACACACACACACACACACACACACACACACACACACACACACACACGCACGCACGCACGCACACACACACACACACAAACACACACGTCATGATTCTCATATACCTGATTGAACGGTAGACGCGGCCTTTGTTTGCGCGGCGAATACCGCGACCGTACATGCCCTGCGGGTTGCACAGCAAACCAGCACAAGCACAAGCACAAGCGCAAGGAATTCGGATTAAGTGCACGCGCCATTGGGCCACAGCAAGTGCGATGGATGAGAACATTCACGTACATGCGCGCACCAGCCAGTATGTACACTCGGCGTGTTCGCACTCATATACACTGGTACGGACGCAGCTGCACACAGTTGTGCACGCTCGCCGGCAGGCACCAACGCAAGCATACCCGCATACACGGCTACGCACGCGCAAGCACACACATACACACACGCACATGCACATACGCACACGCACACGCACACGCACACGCACACACACGCACACACGCACACACACACGCACACGCACATACACACACGCACACGCACACACACGCACACCCATTACCACATGCACGCACCTTGCCCACCCAGGACTCTGCAACGTGCATGTTGGACGGGTTTGCCACGCCGTGGTTGGCCTTTGCGTTGTTCTTGGTGATTTCAAGCACTTGGCGCACATGGCTCGCTGCGTCTTTCTTCGAGAAGGTCATCTGTGCAATGGCATCGTCCACAGCCAATCCGCGAATCTGCATGCAACAACCAGGTCATGTGGGAGGGGGGATTGAAGGGGCCGTGAGCGTGAATACTCGTGTACGATATGAGCACCACTTGCAAGCGCACTGTGCTGAATGCGGCCTCGCACAACAAAGGAGTGCGACCACACCAAACATGATACACACCACCGCACAGCACAGTGCCGCATATCATACTACATCACAGGGTATCACACCACGTCATGTGTCATGCACCATACGACAGCAGCAGATGGTACCTGCTTGGCCACGAGGTTGAGCTTCCATGGACTTGTTTTGATGTTTCGACGGCATCCAAAGACCTTGCCCGGGATGAAGGAGAGAATCCGTGCAGATCCATCGCAAAGTGCGTGAGGAGTGTGTGTGCGTGTATGTGTATATGTGTGTGTGCGTGTATGTGTGTATGTGTATATGTGTGTATATGTGTGTATGTGTGTACGTGTGTATGTGTAATAATGAGCACGTCAAACCTTTCCCCACAGCACGCAGTTTCGCTGTGACGCAACACAGGCGCAAGAACAGCACACACACACACACACATACTCTCTCTCTCTCTCACACACACACACACACAGACGCATGTGCACACACACTCTCTCTCTCTCACGCGCACATACACACAAACATATGCACACACACACAAACATATGCACACACACGCACGCAGCACAGGCGAGTGAGTCGTTACAACTTACGTTCTTTTCGTCGGCAAACTCAATTGGCGACTTCCCTTTGGCGATGGCTTCCTTCTGCAGCTTCCACACAGTGCGCTTGGCAAAGTGAAAGCAAGGCGCAGCCGTGTGCAGCTGGCGAGCAACAGCAGACGCAAGTTGCAAGGGGTTTTGTGCACTTGCACCCCTTGCCACGCTGCTTGCAACGCTACCAGCACTCACAACCCTCCTGCCAGCATGTGCTGCCACTGACGATGCAGATGCAGCAGCAGAGCAGCCCGCAGGCAGCAGCTTGGTTGTCGCCAACACTCGCCACAACATCTTCCTTTCTTTGGTGTCGCTCGTGTGTGAGTCGCGTGAATACTGAATTCAGTTTCCGTGTGTGTGTATGCTCTGCCCTCAAACTGCAACCCCTCGCACAAGAGCACAAGAAGAACAAGAACAAGAAGAAGAACAAGAACCCAAGGCAACGCGTTTGTGAGATTGGCGCTCCGCTCCGTCAAGCGCTCGAGCGGAGATGCAGCAGGAGAAGGGCAAGGGCCAGTTCACGCCGCCCGCCATGCTGGCAGCATTCTGCCTCGTCTGCTTCGTGCTGGCCATTGTCACGCTGATGTCCGCGCCCCCACGTCTCCAAACTGACCCATATGCTGCTGCTCCTCCAACCCCGTCAGCGCTCTCGCCAGCGCGCGCCAAACCTGCTGGTGCCAACGCTGGCGCACAAGCTCAGGCGCACACCGCACCACCGCAAGTGCAAGACGGCGGAGCAGGCAGGTCCACCCGGCACCAGCATCAGCGTCAACAGCAACAACAGATAGCAAACGTTGAACTGAGCAGCACAACGCCAACCGCTGCCATTGCCGAAACCATCGCTTCACCATCTCCTTCGGCTCTCATGCCACCCACAGCAACTGAAGCGCAGCAGCAAGATGTGCAACAAGCAAACCAACCACAGCACCGGCAGCGGCAGCAGTGTGGCGTGGATGGTGTAGTGTGCGTGACTGACGAGGATGCATCGCGGTACGTGTGGACGAACCGAAGCGAGGAGCTGAGGCGAGTACTGCCACAGAAGGTATGGACGGAGCTGATAGAGATGTTTGCACCATCCTCTCACTGCAGTCCTCTCGGCCTGCAGCCACACCCACGCACGGGTGATATCGAGTCACCACCACCGCCAGCAGCAACAGCAGAGCCCTCACAAACAGGCGTTGTGCTCATGCACTGCCACGGTCAGTTTGGGAATCGCTTGGGGGAGTACACAATTGCACGCATCGTGGCTGAGACGCGGCGCTGGCCGCTTGTCATGTGCGACGTCTTCAAGCAAGAGCTCTTCTCAAAGGGCCTTATATTCCCCTTTGCAGTGGACCACCCAATTGACCTGGCTGCATTTGACCAGCTGCCGGTCGACACACAGGCCGGGCACAACTACGACTTTGACGAGCTGCTTCGTGATCCCACACCGCGCGTCATTGACCTGGCAGGGTTCCCCTTTCGCAACTACAGCATCCTTGCCCAGCACAAGGCCGCCATCAAGGACGACTGGCTGCGTATTGACACGTCGTGCTTGGCGGCGCAGTCGCTGCCGCTCTCGCTCCCTGGCCCGCGCGACATTGTCGTGCACCTGCGCGCGTACCACGGCTGCGAGGGCGAGGAGCACGAGTACGACCCAACAGAGGCGTTTGTAGACCTCCCATGGGACTACTACGACCGCATCTTGCAGCGCTACCAGCGAAAGGGCGGGTGGGACACAGTCTGGCTCGCGTCTCGGTGCGGCGAGCACCACCCGATTGCGCAGCAACTGATGACCAAGTACGGTGCGCGCGTGATCCAGGGAGATGGGAGCAAGAACTGGGCCAGCATGCACGACTGGCTGTTCATGCGAAGCGCACGCCGTCTCGTCATGTCACAGAGCACATATGCGTGGTGGGCGGCGTGGCTCGGCGATGCAGAGGAGGTGCACTATCCCCTCGCTGGGGACTGGTGGGGTAAAGGGCCGCGGCACACCTTGTATCCCGTTGACGAGCCGCGCTATGTGTTCCACGACTTGCTGGCCGACGAGTACTTCCTCACAGCCGCAGACTTGTGGGGTGCATGAAGGGTGATGGGAAGCGGATACATGCAGAGAAACACGCACCATAAATTATGCTCGCTCATATTCTGTGTGTGTGTGTGTGTGTGTGTGTGTGTGTGTGTGTGTGTGTGTGTCGTGCGTGTGTGTGTGTGTGTGTGTTGGTGTGTGTGTGTGTGTGTGTGTGTGTGTGTGTGTGTGTGTGTGTGTGTGGTGTGGCGTGTGTGTGTGTGTGTGTGTGTGTGTGTGTGATTTGGGGTGGGGCTAACCCCGCACGCTCTTGCTCTCCCCCCCCCCACCGTTTCTCAGTCTCTCCAGCCATGCTCCCTCCCGTCCCACTGCCTCGTTACGACATAGATGAATAGTCAGTTCATTGCCAAGTGCACCAAAGCAACAGCGCGACACTACACGTGCCAGCAATGACAGACGGCCATAAAGCAAAAACACCAATGCAGAGAGAGGAGAGGAGGACTCAGGTGTGCATGCAGGAAGGGGAGGAGAGGGGACAGTGACGACGATGGCGACGATCATACTGGGAGGTGGAGGGGGAGGCGGTGCATGTATTAGCTGGAGGGACAATGCCGAGGAAGGGAGGAGATAAATCGCAAGAGACGGAGCGGAGCGGTTGTGAGTAGGAGGAGACGCCAACCACGCCTGGGGGCGGCGGCTGAAGGCGAAGAAGCAAGAGGGGGTAAAAGGGGGTGGGGAGAGGCAGGGCGAGTGCCAGAAACCGTGCACTCCCAGGAAAGGAAAACAACGAGGGAAAGGTCATGATCGCATGATCACCACGAAGCGTGTGATTCTGAAACGACCAAGCCTGCCGCAGAGGAGAGAAGAGGGGAGGAGGGATGTGCACGGAGAAGCCTGGCCCAAAACCAGCACCACGCACAAACAAGCACGTGAGGGGCAAGCGTGACGACGGCGATGTCGCACACATACATGCATGTGCACGCACGCATACGCACGCATACTCACGCCAGTACATGGTAGGCTGTCATGCCGGAGAAGACACACGACCAGCTAAAGAACATGCAGCCCTCACAGTGCACAAATAAAAACCACCAGAGAGGTCGGGCGGAAGCAGGGGTTGCCTGCGAGCACCAAGTGCAGACGCAGGGAGAAGAAGGGGAAAAAAAGGGAAAGAGAGAAAGGAAGGATGGTATTTGAAGAAGGGAAAACAAAGGAGGAGAAGCGTGTGTGTGCTGTCGAAGTAGGAAACTGACAATAGAACACGAGAAGTTGGGGGGGGGGGGGAGAAATCGTCGAGCCAAGGCAAGGCAGGTTGGAGGAAAGGATACGGGGTGTGGGTGGGCGCACAGCATTCCAAAACGACACACACGCATGAACCACGTCACAACTTGCGCGTCGTGGCGCGATCTACACGCAATGAAGGGTGGTGAAGCACGAGCAACGGCGCTACGCAGCTGTTAGAGGGCAGCACACAAACATACAAACGAGTGACCAGACAACAAACAGACGGGGCAAAGCACCCAAATCCATCGGGGCGAAAAATAAACGAGGGTGCCTGCCAACCGACAAACAAGCAATCGACACGACTAGTCCTGGCAATACACAAATAGAAGCCGCAACGCGCACAAGGGCACAAACAGCCACACGCCCAGAACACACACGCGTACGCATAGCATGAGCGCAACACCACAACAGGAAAGGTGGGAAAGAGGGGGGTGGGGTGGGGTCACGGGAACTGGGAAAGGGAGACAAGGAGATGAGGAGGAAGAGGAGGGGCAAGGGAAGGGCTCGAGAAAGCAGCAGCGGAGGGAAAACAACAAGCAGCTGACGCTGCGCATGTGTTGCCCATCAAGGGCTGCACCTGCCGCCTAAGCCCACTCGCCGCCCTTGATGGCTGGTTCTGCCTGCACGTCCTTGTTCTTGCTGGGCGTGGCGGCCTCAGATGCTGGTGGGAGCGGCTGCGCCTCGTTCTCTGGCAGCACCGCCGTCTCCTTAGGCTTCTCCGCTGCCTCAGATTTCGGCTCGTGGCTGCTGCTGTTGCTGTTGCTGCTGCTGCTGCCGCCGCTGGCTTGTTTGGACTGCTTCGTGTTGGATGACGAGGCTTTGTCCTGCTGCTGTTGGGGGTGGTGGTTTGGGGTGTCGGTGAGCTCACCAGCACGGCGGCGGCGCTCGCGGTCCTTTGCACGCGCCTTGGTCAGGTACCGCCCAAGCTGTTGAAGCAAGCGAGGTCGGGAAGGGGGGGGGGGAAGAGAGGAATAGCAGAGGAAAGGCATGTTGAGAAAGTGGCGAGGTTTCAAGGGAAGGGGGAGGAGGTGGAGGTGGTGGTGGACAGAGAGCCACGCAGGACCACGCCACTTCATGAATGGGCACCGACTGAACACGATGAGCAAGCAATAAACGTAACACTACACACATGAACGCACATGAACGCACACACACATAAACACGGTTCAAGGCAGTGGGCAGCAGACCTCGGTGTTGTCCTCGTCGGTGATCTTGAGCCAGCCGTGGCGGGCGCACTCCGAGGCGGTGGCGCGGAACAGCTGCGGTGCGCAGGCAGAAAATACAGGCAGGTCATGGAAGGAAACCAACACACATGAGAACAAGAGAAGGCCGGCAGAATGGTCAAGAGCAAAGACATGGCGGCGTACGGAGACCAGGGGCAGGGTCTCAAACCAAGATGGCAGGAAGCAAGCAGACCACACATGGGTACCGGCTCGTAGCGGAGCATGGGGAGGAGGAACTCCGTCATCATCTTGGCGCTGTCCTTGTGCATCTTGTACTTCTGCATCAGCACATCCTGCAGCGGCCACATCTTCAAGCGCTTGATGTGGCGCAGGTTGCCTTCAATACGGGCAACAACAAACACGTGGTGTGTGTGTGTGTGTGTGTGTGTGTGTGTACAGTGTATGTGCGTGCGCAGTGTGCGTGGTGCATGTAGTGTTTGTGCGTGTGCAGGGTGCATGGTGTTGGGTGATGGAATTGATGGGTGGGATGAGTGAGTTGGTACAAGTGTGAGAGGAGAATGAGACGTAATGTGTCGGCTGGTTGAAGCGCCGAGGAGATGCAGGCAAGAACGCAACGCGAGCAACAACAGCAGAGGAGGCGTACCGTTGCGGTCAAAGTATGTTGGTGCATGGGGGCTGTTGAAGACAATCTGGCGCGGGATGGGGCCAAGAAGCTCAATAATCATGGCAATGTGGTCTGCACAGAACAAGATAGCCCACGATGAGACCGACAACGAGAAGACCAAAGGTGGTCAGGGTGTCCAGGGCGAGAATAGCATGAAGGAAATGTGTGTGAGTGTGTGTGTGTGAGTGTGTGTGAGTGTGTGTGTGTGCGTGTGTGTGTGTGCGTGTGTGTGTGTGTGTGTTGGGGCGCTCACCTTCATTGCGATCAAAGTTGCGGCCGCTGTGGGGATCAAAGAGGTAGTCGCCAGTGGCCAGCTCAAACGTCTGGTGGTGTGCAAGTAAAGGTGGAGCAGTAGCAACAATGTGAGCGCGTTGACACGCAAGGTCGCACAAGCTGACAAACACACAAACACACACACACACACACATGCACACACATACACACACACACCAGGGCTGCGACGCTCCAGATGTCAGCGCTCTGGTCGTAGTTGTTGCCGAGGATGGCTTCGAGACTGCGGTACTGCCGTGTCTGGATCACAGCCGCAAAGTGCTTATCCTGCACACCACACATTAAAGCAGCAGAACGCAGCACACGTGAGAGAAGGGTTGATGCAATGGCTTCAATGATGGCTCAAACTCAAGCGCGACGTTGCAGGTAGTTGTTGAGACAGCACTTGTGCGTGCTGGCTCGCCCGCATGTTAGTGTGTGTGTGTGTGTGTGTGTGTGTGTGTGCGTGTGTGTGTATGTGTGTTGGTGCACGACGTACCACCCAGCAGGCGTTGCCGAGGTCTGCAATCTTGACCTGGCACGTCTTGAAAAACTCCTCGTCCAACAGCTTTTCCCGCAGAGGACCTGAGCATGCGGGTCGTCATTGTTTGTTTGGTGGTGATGGTGGTGTTGGTGGTGATGATGTAGCACATGAGCGAAACAAGCGGTGAAAAGCGAAACAACAGAACAGACGCAATGTGATGTGATGTGATGTGATGTGACGTGGGGAAAGGCCAAGTACCAAGCGTCCCATGTTCAGCCCCAACCTCACATTCAGCACGTGTGAAAACACAACAAGAAACAGCCTCACAAGAGAGAGGGGCAAGGAGGGCAAGCTAGTTGCATCGCAGACAGACAGACAGCCAGCCAGCCAGGCACACACATATGCACACAGATACACACACACATATATAGACAGACACAGGTACACACACGCACACACGACTTACGGATGCGGGGCACGTCGTCAAGGTTGACGTGCTCGCGATCTGCCTCTGAGGCACATTGGCGGGTCTTCTTGTTCTTTCCAAGGCGGCTGGCATAGCGCGGTGGGGGCTGGTCGGCGTACGTGGCCTTGGCAAGCTGGCCCATGGCGTGGATCTCCCGCTCCGTGAGGCACATGAGGATGTTCTCTGGCTTGATATCCGTGTGGATGATGGAGCACTTGGAGTGGAGGTAGTCGAGGCCCTGCAGCGTCTGCTTGATGATGCGCTTGGTGAGGACGGAGGGCAGCCCGCGGTAGTTGAAGTGGCGGATGAGGCGCAGCAGGTTGTGGCCCATGACCTCAAACACCATGGCCACGTGCGTGCCAAAGGGCCCGAAGACGCGAAAGTCGTCAATCATCTGCATGACGCGCTGGCGGGAGCGGGCGCGCGGGTCTGCGGCGGCCACCTCGCGCATGAGCTTAATCTCGTCCTGCGCCGCCTCCGTGTAGTGGGACGCGCTCTTGACAATCTTCATGGCGTAGAAGTTGGTTGAGTTGGAGTCCTCCACCAGCCACACGGTGGAGAAGTGGCCCCAGCCAAGCTTCTTCACCACGAGGTACTTGGACTTGTACTTGTCGCCGAGGAACACGGGGTGGTACCCGCCGCGCTTGTACTCGTCGACCTCCTCCTCGTCGTCACTGGCGTCATCAAACTGGTGCGGCGCAGACGAGGGCTTGTGGATCTTCTTGGCCGCGGAGGGGCCGACAGAGCCGGCGTCGGGCAGGGACGCCTTCTTCTGCGGGCGCGGCGCAGACTCCTTGGCGTGCACCGCAGAGGCCGTGCTGGTGGCAAGCGCGGCTGGCCCGTTGCTGGCCACCTTGAGCGCGCCTGTCGAGGGCTCGTTCTTTGCGTTGGACGCTGCGAGCGATGCGCCGTGGCTTGCGTCGGTGGCGCTCTGCTCCTGGGTCGACACTGTCTTTGAGATGTGTGGCCGAGACGGAGCGTGGGCCAGGCGGCGGCCGTCATCGTTGCCGGCCTGGCTGTCCCGGGCCTCTCTGGTCTCGTCCATTCTCTCGCTGGAAAGGCGGCGTGGGTGAGTGAGTGAGTGAGTGAGTGAGTGAGTGAGTGGGTGAGCGAGTGGGCGTGGTGATCAAGAGCGTGTGACACATGCCACGAGAATGCAAGTCGCAAGAGCACAACTCATGCCAAGGAAAAGAGCTTCATTCAGAAAGGCTGGGTTGATTGATTGATTGATTGGTTGGTGGGGTGAGAAGCAAAACAAGGGTCAAGCGCGCTTGTGCGCAACGTGGCGCCCGCTCCCAAAGAAGGCTCACCGCTATCAGACGAGCGGGGGGGGGAGGAGAGGGAGCTGCTGCGCTTGCACCTCGCACAATTCACGCGTTCACCTGCACTTGCTTGGCTCACAACCGGCAGGCCACCAACGAACAGCGCACTTCTCAAACTCACGCACACACACGCGCGCACCCTCCCTTCTTCTTCTTGCGCTGCTGCTGGTGCTTGTGCGCTTGCTGTGCTGCGTATTTTTGTGCAAGGCGGGCAGAACGACGTGGTTGGCTCGTGTTTGCACCCACACAGGAAAATTACCACATGTCATTCACCAAATATCGGTGTTGGGCATGCGTGTGGGCGGGTGGGTGTGGGGGATTCTGTGTGTGCATGTGCTCGTTGTCGCATGCGCGTTGTGCATGTGCTCATTGTGCGTTTGTGTGTGTGTGTGTGTGTGTGTGTGTGTGTGTGTGTGTGTGTGTGTGTGTGTGTGTGTGTGTCGTACGTAGAATGAGTGGTTGTAGAAGGGTTGTTGGGGCAGCTACGTAAGTTCACGATAGTAAGTGACACGGTCGATGAAAATGAAAAAAGTAGCAACCAGTGCCAGAGGATGTCGACGACATGGAGGCTGTTACACTATCCGAATGAACAGCTAATGGACCAACCAGACGCGACGAATACTGGTGGGACTGGTGTATGAAACGATAATTCATTGGGCAGGTAAGTTGGCGGCAAGTAGGATGTTACCCCTTCATTTTGCAATGATATTGCTGTGCATGCCCCGCACATTCAAAGATGATACGGCCTCACGCTTTAACCTAGTATCCGTCCAGAGTCGACTTTGGGTGTAGAGCACTCAGGCGCCCAGTCAGATGTGTGTGTGTGTGTGTGTGTGTGTGTGTGTGTGTGTGTGTGTGTGTGTGTGTGTGTGTGTGTGTGTATGGTCCAGTGGACACATGCGCACATGTTTCTTGGTTGGTGTTGTTACTTGTGGAACAACCAAAAGGACACGGGGCCACGAAGACGACACACACACACACACACACACACACAATGCACACAGCCACCCACCACTGCGAGATGCGCACTGGCAGACAGCAAGACAGCATGCGCGACACACACACACACACACACACATGCATGCATAGACAAGGGACCCTAAAGTCGAGAAGAAAGAAGCGCCACACCACACACCACACAAGACAAAGAGTGTCGAGAAGAACAAGTCCCATACACAGCAGCAGCAACACTAACTCATGCTGCACGTACAACAAAACCAAATTATGACTGCGCGCACACATACACACAGACAAAAGATGGTGGCAAAAGGAAAGAAACAGGCTGTGCTGAAGTGTGGCTGGCAACACAGCTACACGACGGCCACAGAATGAACAGAGGGGAGGAAACAGACGCACACATGAACAGGGACGCACACATGGCACATCAATGGGTCGGTTTGTTCAGTAGCAGTAGCATGGTTAGTTCTTGGCCTCCTGCTTCTCAAGCGAAAGAAGAACCTTCTCCAAGTCAAAGTTGGGGGAGTTGGGATCCATCTCTGCAGGTGCAAAGCAGTGGAGTTGCGTTGATTGGGAGGGGGGGGGGAAATCAGCGTGTGAGGGGTACGAGCGGGACGTAAGCAGAAGGAAGGACATTTGTGGTTGTTGTTGTTGTTGTTGTTGTTGTTGTTGTTGTTGTTGTTGTTGTTGTTGTTGTTGTTGTTGTTGGGGGTGCGCAGGGGCCACTTCAGTTTTCACTGACGACAACAACACATTACACAGTCCGCGAAGCGACACATCCAAAGGCACACAACAGCAACCAATCAGAAAGGTTCCCTTAAGCCAAAAGGCGATGGGTGTGCACAGGCACACGCAGTGAAGCCCACCAAGACAACAAAGCAGGCATGGGCCCTTTGCTCCCGCACATGTATGTAAATGGATAACGCACCGAGATCGTTTGTGGAGGACGCGGCCTGGGCTTTTTGTGCCTTTTGCTTCTTGGCCTCCTGTGCCTCCTGTGCCTTCTTTGCTGCCGCCTCGCGCTTGGCAAGAGTGGCTGTGCGTTATGTGTGTGTTGTGTTGTGTGTGTGTGTGTGTGCATGGTGTGTGTGTGTGCATGGTGTGTGTGTGTGTGTGTGTGTGTGTGTGTGTGTGTGTGTGGGGGGGGGGGGTGGAATCCAAAAGGGGAGTTGAAGTAGTCAGGAGAGTGAGTTTGTGTGAGGGTGCATGCGCGTTTGGTTGCGCTCTGTTGAGTGTGGTGTTGGGGGAACAAATCGGGGTGCACGCCAAGCCAAGGCCAAGTGTGCAGGCACAAAAGGCGCTCAAGTCCGGAAAAAGAACCCACAGTGATGGGAGGCGCCGTAAACAACACCGGTGACGAGGAGCGCCCACCTGCAGAACTGCACATGCACGCACGCATCACCATGAAAGATATAGCATGGTTGGTGAGACAAAGCAGAGCGAAGGAAACAAAAGAAACAAAAAGAAAAGGGGGAAGGGGATTGCACGCTTCAAAGGAGAGCTATCTCAAAGGGCTATTCACGGCACAGGGTGCTGCTGATCACACCTTGACGGTTGGAGAAACGCTGGACATGGTTGGTTTGGTTTGGTTTGGTTTGGTGTGGTGGTCGAGTGTGCAGTGGTGCCGTATGTGTGGTGCTGTATGTGTGCTTGTGGTGGCAGTGAAATCAGCGAGAATGGAATTCTCTCGCAAGTTTTCAACAATTTTCGGACCCGATATGCAGATCTGACGTTGCTGTGATAACGCTTCTCGCCCACACACATGCTCGCCGTCTGGCCTGTCTGTGTGTCGTGTCTCTGCGTCTCCTCCGCCCCTGTGTCTCTCCTCCACACATCCCTTCGTGTGCTTTGGGCTAAGATACGAATGCGTATCGTGGAACAACGCTCAAGCAGTGCTCATTTATTGGCCGTCTTGCTCCTCTTGCAACTTTGCATAATAGCCGTATGTCCACATCAGGATGAAGTACACAATGAAGATGAAGATCGCCTGTGAGTGTGCGTGTGTGTATGCGTGCATGTGAGCGTGTGTGTGTGATGAAGAGTGAGACACAAAACAAGAAGCGAAACAGGCAAGGACGTGCATACACAAACGTAGACCGGCACGCATACACACACAAGCACAAGCACACACACACACGCACACACAAGCACGCACAAGCACGCACACACACACACACATACACCCGCGCGCACACAAAACGTACACCCAACTTAAACAATGACCTTTGTGAGGGCTCTGCTGAGCGTTTCAGCGCGCTTCTTTTGATGGAGAAGCATCCAGTGCTCCCGTAACGCCTCGACTCGCTCATCATGCAAGGTCTCACGCAACTGCACTCATGCAAAGCAAGCAAATGGCACATGATGAATGTGTGTGCATGTGGTGTATGCGTGAGGATGTGTATTGTGAGCGGTGTAGCAAAATCTCAGAAGAGCCAACTATAACGGGTTGGAGTCCCAGCGATAAACGCGTGCGCAAACACACACACACACACAGACACAAACACAGACATACACAGACACACACGCACACACATATACACACACAACTATCGACCTGCTGGGACTCCTCAAATGTGTGGTGAAGACCCATTTCTTCGAGGACATCCTTGGGGAGGCGGCTGTATTGTCCCTCCCAGGTGTTGAGGGCTGCAGACTGCACCGCTTCGTCGTCAGGATCGACAGCAATGCCGCTCTCCTCCAAGAAGTCAATGTACCTGCATGAAGGATGCACGCGCCGCGTGGGCGGGAGACGACGCAGTCCAATCGGGGGTGGGGGGGGGGATAGAAACATGTTCACACGAGCATTGAAAAGTATGCTGGCAGTAGGAACACACACACACACATGCACACACACACACATGCGCACACACACACATACATGCACACACACAGGTGCACACACACACAGGCACACACACACACACACATACCCGCCGCATTGTTGGGGTCTGAGAAGGCCGTTCAGATACGCGTCCTTGACCTGGGCAGCGCATGCACATGTGATGGATTTGTGAGCAACAAAGCAAAGGAATGTTAATGGCGTGGGTGTAGCAGCACTTGGGACCAACACGTGGACGTGCCGTCATCACAGCCCGCCACTGTACAGAGCACTGACCACACGAAGCGTGTCTTCGTCCGGTGTATGTGTTGGCGGCCTGAACTTGGCAGCGGCCGTGTAGGGAAAGCCCTGGTGCCGGGAACATTGCGGCGTGAGGAGACGACATGCGCCAGGACCCACCGGCACGCACTTTTGCCAACAGGCAAACGGTCAGACGGAGGTGCATGTGTTCGTACAAATGGCAAGCACACGCACCACGCATACATGACGCACACACACACACAGACAGACAGACAGACACGCAAACACACGCACACACAGACAGACAGAGAGACAGGCAGGCAGGCACGCAGACAGACAAACAGACAGACAGACAGACACGCACACACACACGCACACACAGACAGACAGACAGACAGACAGACAGACAGACAGACAGACAGACAGACAGACAGACAGACACACACACACGACCCCGCAGTGATGGTACCGGTTCCTGCTCTTGAATGCCGTGCAGGAACCGCAGCTCGCGAAAGCACTGGGCGTGAGCAACGCCTGTATCCTCGGCCAGCGATGCCAACAGCTGGCGTCGGCACTCCTGCACGGCGTCAGGCACATGCGACGGGCGTCAGGTAAGGATACGCAAGAACTATGTCAAGCGCGAGCACATTCAGACGCATGCGTGACACCAAGCTGTAGCCGTGTGCTGACCTTCCACTGGGGCTCATTCGCCACGCCAATGGCTGCCAGCAGGCCGTATATTCTGCTAGCAAGTACAGCCTTTGTGGACAACACGGGCTCCACCCGCAGGACATCAAGTGCCTAGTCGGGGTGAGGGAAGAGGAAGGGAAGACAGTCCACAT